AAACCCACCCATCCCACCCCAGGGGAGGACATCCACCACACAGTAATCTCGTGCGTGGGAAATTAATCCTACCCCTACCCCTGTAAGAGACGGGCCTACGGTTTTATTCGTCCTTATCCAGGAAGACTAGAATATCTTTCTATTTCTTGATGTTATAGAAAGGTAGCAAATTCTCCTCAGTTATTTTAAGACCCTGAGTGTCGGTCCGGCCGGGGCTTGAACCCTCGACCTCCCGCACAACAGTCCGGCGCTCTAACAATTGAGCTAACCAGGAGGCGGAGGCTTATGGAGGGAAGGAGGGTGGTGAGCTTCGATTTCCGGTACTTCTTTTTTTCATCATAAAAGGGGTGAAAAAAAAGACTGGCAAATATTTTATTTTAGCTTCTCATATGGAAAGATTGTTTTTCACCCAATTTTCTTTTTTTGTCCCTATATTCATGTGTTAATCTTTGGACATTACCTGAGAAAAGTCTACTGAGTCATTTAGCTTTATAGCCAATCTTTTATAAGTGTGTTCGTATTAAGGCATGTTGCTCTTCCAGCAAATTTTTTTAAAGGTCATTGATATACTCATTTATAAAGAAAAGCTTATCAATGAGTATTGAACAATTTTCATCGCTTCAAGACGCACGGTAAATAACTTTTTTATTGATTAATTAGCGTGATCATCCAAACCATGGCCATGAATCGAAAGGCTGGTCCGTCACTCGCCATCAACTCGTGACTTAAAGAGCTTTTCAGTTTTTCTCTCAAATCCCAGACAATTAGAATATGTATATATTTTTAAAGGAGCCGATCCTTTTGTTAAAGAATTGGCTCTAATCAATCACAGAAAGCGTAACATCACATTGTTTATTCCACAAACGTAAACTTGGCTAATACGTTTTCTTTTCAGGTCCAGTAAAAGGAAAGTGATGAGTGATGACTACAGAATGAACGCTTTTGAAAAATCACGCGATAACATTTCCTTCGATGTTTACCTCTCTGCCCTTGATGTCCTTTATCACACGCTGTTATTAGACACGTTTCTCTTTAATTATTCCTGATGATAACTGCCAAGATTTTCCATTGTTGTAGTTTGAAAAATGTACGTTGAAATGATGAGAAGAAAAAATTTTATCCATTTTTTTGCATGTGGGGTTCACAAAACGCACGTGCGGGATTTATTGTCACAGTTTTCAATCTGAAAATAGAAGCTCCTCCTCTTGTTAAGATTAGTGTGGAAAAAATGGCATATTAGAGATGTATCCTGCTGTGATTTGAAACTCAAATGAGGTTGATAAGAAGGCAATACATAACGCTGCGGATGAGAAATCATTATGTAAATCAACGACATCCTTGATGAATCGTGTGTTGCCAAGATTGACAAGGGCGATTCACACTGGATTAGAAGCCATCGACTATTTCTGAGAGGAAATTTCTCACATATTGCCAGATACAAACTTGCAATCTGTAATTCAGCCTGGTTTTTCTGCATGTATCATATTCTTGAGTTCGAAGACATCTCTTCAACGATCAAATAGCCCTGTATGAGGAGATACAGTGAACAGTGAAAGCCGCAGCCGAAGAAATAAGAACAAACGAGTTAAGAGGGCATGCGAGGCGTTTCATGGTATGGATTCTGATATTCTCAAAGTAAAATTACAGTACCCATTATCTTGCTATTTTTATGTAATTTATTCTAGGATTTGGAAATTTAAATTTGACTACCAAAACTATCAAAATTTAGTTAAATCTGTCGGCGACAATGCTCTCAATTTATTCTATTTTTGAGCCTTCAATGGGACAAATGGTAATGTAATTATTAATCACACACAATAATTTTGCAGTGATATCACTGGCTGAAAGCCTCAGGGAGAATATGGACTTTAACCCCACAGCCCCCCTCTCCCCTCTTAAAGTGTTCAAAACTTTTACATGTACCATGTTTCATTTCGCATCAATGAACCAGTTACTTTTGCAAATCACATTCTGTTTATTCTTCTAGAGAATCATACAAAGGTTAATACATGTATAAGCAAATCTCAGCACGAGTTACAGTACCACTTGCCGTCCACCAGAATGAAAAGGTTAGACCTCGTTACAAATTATCAGAAAAAGGTAAGGAAAAAACTCTAGCTGGAATCATCAACGATCGTCTCCCCTGTAGCGTTCTGAAAATTGATACAACGGATTAGAGTTAGTAAATACCTGATAAGCGTAGCTTGGTTCCACAAGATCAAAATTGTTGTCGCGTACTTTTTATATACTGAGAGGTTCAGGAGCCGAGGATTCGAGTTATTATCATCATTTTCTTTTATGATCAAGTAAGTATTGTCGAGGTAAGGGGCGAGAATGGAGGGGGTAGTTTTGTTGAATAGAACCTTACGGGCTTAAACTCCATCGAGCCACCCAGCTCCCGCTTCCATGGTTTTCCCATGGTTTTCAGTGATATGTGTAGATACAGTGAAAGTGGTAGACTAAAAGTTAAGCAAAGGCTAAGATTAGAAATGAATACCATGTGTATCACTCAAAGGTCTATCAATTCATCGATAAATTAAACGAAATAAACCTAGAACTCTCACGTTTGGATCGGTCATTGAACAAGGTGCTGCTACTTACAGCACATGATTCTACACGGAATGTTTTTTTCGGCGAAAGGGTTTAAAACTGGTCGTTTACGAAAAAATACCACTCACTTCTATTCTGGACCCTGATTTCAAATCCTTTCTCCTGGCCATCATTGCCATCGGAAGTAAACGTGGCAATTATGGGTTCATTGCTTTGCGATCCACAAATGAATTCATATCTGTATTTCGTTTTTCTTCCCCTTGGATAGATGGATGAGAAATACTCGTCATAGATTTCTTCCAAGTCATTTGAGTCGTTATTTTCAAATCCAAACGGAAAAAAACCATGAAGAGAATTGGGTCCAGCAACTTCATCATCATCATCATCATCATCATCATCGTCGTCGTCGTCGTCGTCACCGCCCCTCAACTTACAACCATATCTGGACCTCTTAAGTTCAGAATCACTAGTTATGCTCAAAAGTTCTTGCCCCCCTTGCTCGAAAGTTAAGGTATCCCTGCAAAAGAATGATAATTTATAAATAAACTAACGTTTTTATAAAACCCTGTTTAGTACTCGACTTATGTAAGTTTTTCAAACAAAATTTTTCATTATGGACAACATATTTTTCATCTCCACTGCGTCAACAGAAAAACAGTCATTAGAACTAAAAATACGAATGGTTGATTATTGTTTCATGAAACACCAGCCATCGGTCAACGGGCGTAAATTCATACTGTTGGTTGTGATAAAAAAGTTTAAAAAAGTAGTAATTACAATAATAAAAGTGTACACAAACGCACAAAAAGCTTACCCTTGTCCAAGTTCGAATGACTCCTTAATTTCAAATTTTAGTCTAAGATAACGGTCTTCTGCGAGAGAACCAAGATCCCACGTTCTGGTAGTACTAGGTGGATAGCTGCCAGGGAAACCAGGCGATCTAAGTTTTACAGTTTTGCCTGTAAATAAACATATATAGAAGTATTAAATTGTAAGATTTTTCCATTGTCCATGATGTTTTAACACAAATGCTAATCAGTGGCTCCAAAACTGAAAAGGTGACATCATCAATCTATGCAAATGACTCAAGGTAAATGAGTTAACTGACCCCCCGGTGACGATGTTTCCATTGATTATTCTAGAAATAGCGCTTTCAAGGACATTTTGAAAGCATAAGAAAGTCAAATACATTATATAATCTCACCATCTGCGCAAATTTGTATGTTGCCGTGTAGATCCTCGTGTTATCTAGGTATACTTTAAAGTAAATTTTCAGAAAACAGACACTTTTTTTGTGAAGTTACTCTCTCTATTTGGTTTCTCTTATGGAAATTAATATCTCATTTCTAAAAGTAAAGTAAACCGCGCGTTTGCCTGCTGATATACGTCCTGCGTTACGTAAAAGCTTAACTTAGAAATTTTAATCACCTGGGTTAATTGTGATCATTGTCGGTGCGGGTGTCGTAGGTGCTGCGGTGGTCGTCGGTGCTTCGGTGGTCGTTGGTGCCTCGGTGGTCGTTGGTGCCTCGGTGGTCGTTGGTGCCTCTGTGGTGGTTGGTGCCTCTGTGGTGGTTGGTTCCTCGGTAGTGGTCGGCCCTTCGGTGACTGTCGTCGGCGCAACTTCGGCATTGCATAAGGTGGTATTGCAACATTCCAACGAACAAGACGTTAGGTTTCCTCCAGCGGATTCGTTACGCGAATTGCATAAGGAGTCGCTACTGCAAAGTAAATCCGGTAAACAGAACTTAAGAAGGCCTGGCTGATTGGCATTATCAACTGTCCGTATAGTCATACAGGCAAATTCTGCTTTACAGTCGTCCACCTTTTCATTGGAACAATCATCTACGCAAGTGGTGCACATTAATTCGGACTCAATTTCTGTTATGCATATCAACAGCACCTAGGGAGAAGAAATTAATTATCTGTTAGTCCCCTAGTTAAGGATATACTGTTTATATTCTGGATCTCCTTTGTGTGACTGAAAATGGTGCCTAACTAAATAGCAGAAGGAAAAGAAATTTATATGCCCTTAAAAGAAAATCCTAACAATTTCTTCATATTGTACTGTACTCTAGTGCGACCTAGCTTCCTTGGAACACGCCCGAACTTAAATAGATTTCCTTAATGAACAACACAAGGTGCACTGGCAGCGCACATGTCGGTGTGAGATGTAAGTCATTTGCATAAATCGCTTGAAGAAAATGTTTAGGCTGTACGTTTAGCGTCCTCGGCAATTTGATAGTTCGGTACAGGTAGTTTGGCAGTTTTGGATTTTTTCTTTGAGCATGTTTCAGATTTCGTCGAGATCGTAGTGCTGATTTGTGTAAATTTTTCAAATGATGATGTTAGAAAGTCAAAACATCTTCACACTTCAGGTTGGCTTTCAACTAAAGTGTCGCCGCACAAAACATCTGCGGGGCGTGCACCAACTACAAAAGCTTGCAAGATATGTAAGGCATTTCCATGAGAATAATCGGCTATACGATAAAGAACCTGGGGCAGTTGGAAATATGATAGAGGAGTGAATAAAGGACCCATAAAGGTTTCTTTTATACGAGCATCTTGCATTTTAATCTGTTCAGACTGTCAGATGGTAACTCTTTATCCAGGTAATGGACAAACGCATCAAGATAGAGTTTTGATCTGTTGTCTAGATTTATCTTTACGTTAAGATGATGAAAACAGATATTCCTAACACTACAACATATACACCTTAGGTTCACAAAGGTGAATTGGCTTTTAGGGAAATGTTGCAAAACTAATATCAATTGATTATATGAAGTTGTACATTCCTGAGCAAGCGTATCGTCACATTTGATACAGCTGGAAAAAAAATTTTGGCAAAATTGCTAGATGTGTTTAGCTTGACATCACTAGTGCTCATTAATGTTTCAGAAATGTCAGAGTAATGCATCCGAAATTATTACCGAAGAGCTGCAACTTGGTTTGGGTATGTTTTCGTTTCCCCACTTTTAGAATTCTTGGCATGTTAGTTGGTTTATTTGCAGAAAGTATCTGCTATGAACTTGAGAGAAATCAGTCGCTGCAAGGATTTTCAATTAGCTAACAACTATACAAGACCCACCGTTAGATAAAGCAGAGAATCTTTCATCTTTAACAGCTTGAATCAATCGACTGCTATAGTTCCCTTTCAAGAATGATAGTAGAAGTGTACGTCTCTTTACATACTTTGAGTCAAATATTGGTTATGACGGTCACATTATATAGCTAATAGCGAGTGCCTTCTTAGAGACACCGCGTCTGAATACCCGTATTGACTCTGTCTGCAGTAATATAGCTTTGATTGTCACTTCCGTTTATTGATATCAGGAGAAAAAACAAAACGATCACGTTTCGTTTTGTGTACTTAACAATTGTCATGTTTTATTTCAGTCGTTTATAACAAGCAACTGCACTGAGCTTTTTAGACAAGGCCAAGGAGACAGGCAAAAGAATGCAGTAATATATCTGAAGCACTTTGATAAAGAAGTTATATTGTGCTACGGATTCTTCATTTTTGTATTTCATTCCTGATATTTTGAACTGAAAAGAAATTATTCTAGTTCTCGGCAAAACAGCCCAACAAACAAACCGCTTTCTTGTTTGCTATTCTAGATATATTTAACACCTCTAATATTTGGGTTTTTTGTGTGGGTGAAAATGAATCATGAATAAATATTAATATGACTTACTCAAATTTCCCAAAATTTACTCAAAATTCACGTTAATTTCACTTCGTTGTATATTTCCATCATACGAGGATATAAAAGGAATACATTTGCACAATTGATAGATAAAGAGAGAAAGAACAGAAGATAGATTAACTTAGTCACATTAATCAATTAAAAACCACTAAAGCATTTGGTGCCGACACCCTATAACCGCTTGGCAATCGAAGGTTTTTTCCTGCTGGAACGGTTTGCTGTGATTCACTTTTTCATATACTGGTCTCACGGTTAAAACATATCCGTTTTTTATTTGCCTATATAAGCCTAAAATAATTAATCTATATCAAACAATCAACATAACGGAATTGAAGGAAAAAAAGTTTTATCAAGATAATTGATCTTTAAAGAGGATAATATGAAGCTTTATTTTGCCAAGTAACGATCAAATAAATATTGAAGAGTGTACGCTCCAAGTTTAAAAAAAAAAAGGGAGTTTTAACCGGACTTTGATGGAAAAGAAGAATTTTGATCACTTACCGTTGCTTTTCTTTCTTTTCTTTCTTTCCTTTCCTTAACTTGTGCTTGGAATTTTGAGGAGAAAACAAAGACGTTTGGGAAAGCAGCTCATTCAATATTTTTCAAAAAAGCGGTTCATAGCAGATACACACATTTTTTTTTTTCTAATTGAAAAAAGTTGTTTCTATGAGGTAAGCACAGAGCGATTACAAGAGCCAGGCGTCAATGAAAATCTCTTAAAAAAAGTCTTAGAATTTATAGTTACGATATTTTTGCTTAACGTACGCTAAGAATGTATTCGAGAGCCAGAGTGTGGTAGCAATGTTTATGTTGTTCGTGATATACGTGTCTGTGAAAATGGGAATAAATCCGATTAATCCCACAAGCTAATATCTACATTTGCTTTTTCTTAATTCAAAACCATAGAGCTCCACTGGCATTGTATCATTAGAATATCTGTGTGGAAATTATCTTTAAATGATGACAATTATCTTCATGGTTTTTTTTAGGGTAAAGTGTTTGATTTATTACGCTTCTATCCCGTCAAACTAGAATACTATGATATTTATCTATTTTCTTACAATCTGTTCATAGTTTATGTCCACAAAGTCTAGATTCTTCTAGGTTGAAAGCAAAGGAAGAAGCCTATATTGATTGTTATGCACACTCCATGCATCATATTGTTGATACATGCCGATCGCACCAAACAAGATATGGAGTAGCAACTACTGTAAGCCACTAATGAGCGTTTGATATTTTTTCGTAGAAAAGCATTGATTCAACCTAATTCATTTCCTTTTTTTCGATGATACTACTTTAAAATCACGCATTCAATGTTATTCTTGACCCTTACCTGTTAACTGAATCAATCGCAGAGACCACTTGAATACACATTTCTCCTGTTCCAAAGAGATATTTAGACAAAGCGGCTCCATGCGAATTCATATCTAAAAGGCTCAGATGTATACCTATAATTTCATTGACCATAATAATAATTATAATAAATGATATTTTAAGAGGAGGCTTCCAATCACCCGAAGGTGGTTTTCAGGAGGGTCCTCTAAAAATAAAAATAAAAATAATAATAATAAAGGCTGATAGTTTCTAAAGACACTGTTTGGGGCTGTGTCGGTGGAGGTAACGAAATAATTTGGATATATCAACAAAGTTGAAATGGTAATTTGGCCACCGTAACGATTACAAAAGCTGACGTTTCGAGCGTTAGCCCTTCGTCGGAGCGAATGACGAAGGACTAATGCTCAAAACGTCAGCTTTTGTAATTGTTACGGTGGCCAATTTACCATTTTAACTTTGTTGATATATCCAAATTAAAAAAAAAAAGATGACACCAGGGACAATTAGGACAATAAACTGCGTCTTTAGTTTAAAGCACCAACATTAGCAGCAACGTACGCGGCATTGTCCGCCGAGCAACGTTTATTTCAGCTTCAAAGCTGGATATATTAGATGACTCAAATGCACGGCCGTTGATACTCTATAATGGCAATAAACACGGCCGCGGTTTCAATACAAGAAATATTTTAAGTTATAATCATTGAATTGGAGCTATCAAGTCAGAGGCACGAAGGAACCAGTAGTTCCTACGTCGAAATTTCATATTTCTTTCTCCTCTCTCGTGTTTGTTTCACCTTCTATAAAACTTTACGCAGGTATGTATTTTTGTGTTTCTATAGGCGCCTATTACTAATTATGCAGTTTTCTATCCGAATAACTATGGAATTTGATTCATCTGGCGGACGAATCAGATTTGAATGGAGTTATTGTCGGTAATGTGAATAACAATTGTCTGAGGTTAAATTCCTCATTGGGACTTATAATTTTTCTTTGTACCACGCTCGTGACAAGACGAACAACATCTTTCTCTAGTTCCCTGAATCATTCCAATGTAAGCTTAATGCTGGTTCACATCACTTTTTCATTCAATTTTTGAGAGGAATACTTTACTATTCATCATTTAGGACTTTATTTGTTTTTCTATTTTTTCTAATTTTTTTTACCTATCTATCTAACTTTTGTTTACCTATCTTTGTGTAGTGTCTCCTCTAGGGTGAATTGGGGAGGGAAGGTGAGATCAATACATGGACTGAAGTGGCTGCATATTGCGCCTGATGAATTCTGACGTCCGATCTCACCTTAACTGATTGTAAAAGCGCGACTGATTATCTATATAGTAGTTTGCGCTATATAAATGTTAAATTGTTGTTGTTGTTGTTGGTGTATTTAAACGTTTACCCATCTATTTGTTTCTAAATTTCCCGCTTTGGCAGTGGATAATTGCATTACTTTGATTATTTATTTCGACAAGTTTTTGGTTCAGCTGATTATCATAAGCCTTTTTTTTACTTTTCCATGATACTGATCTAGTAAGGGTAGCGGTAGGTATTTTCGACACGTTTTTGGTTCAACTGATCATCATAAGCCTTCTTTTTTACTTTCCCATGCTGCTGGTCCACTAAGGGTAAGCGCCTCACACAGTTCTGAGTGTAGAATACTCATATCGAGGACATTTTTTGTTGTTGCTATCGTAGCAATAAAACGGCCTTGATGACTGGTCATGCAGTGGCGACGTTGTCACCAAATGTATTTTAGTTATCTCTGATCTTCAGTGAGCTTCTTCAAACGCTATTTTACAACTGTAATTCTTACTCATGTTTTAGGCGATTAAATCAGTTACAATTCTCCTTGCTACATTGAGCGTGTTTGTTAGTCTTAGGTTGGTGATTGCAACTAGGAGAACTCCCCAGAACAAAGAAAATTCGGCACCCTATTTAGCGGTGACCCTGTATCAAGCGGTCAAAGTCATAGTCCCGCAATTGTTTTCCCTCGATTACTGCAATTTTCAGCTCAGTCTATGAAGCGGTCAAGGCCGCCCTTTAATGAGTCCCAACGGCCTTATTGAACGGTCACTTAAACTGGAACCACTCAAATAAAACGAAGAATAATCTTTAAATTTACATAAAATATGTAATCTGTACATCATACGCAATAATCTGTAAAGTAAAATTAGATTCATTTTTGTCTTCCGAAATCAATGTACCGGTAAATGGTACTTTTGAGTGAGTTTTTATACAAAAAGCGGCAACTATGGCATAAAATGGCGATTTTTACCATTAAGTGGTCAAACTGTATTCAGCCAGTGGCGGAGCTAGGGGAGCCCCCCCTCCCCCTTTCCCCTCCTTTCCCATCCTTGTTTTGGGTAGAAAAATAAAACAGAGGGAAAAAAAGCGGGCAGGTGAACATACACAAACAAAAACGTCCCCCGCTCTTAGCTCCCCCGCTCTTAGCTCCCCCCTCTCAGCTCCTCCCCCCCTCGCTCTTAGCTCAAGTTCTGGATCCGTGACTGCTAGCGGTCACTCCGCTATTTCCCGTGGGTGACTTCTTGATACAGGTTCGACTAGACATGAAAAATACAGTCTCCTTTGACTCGTGCTCCTGTTGCGAAATAGAAGGACAGTGAATTATTAAACAGTTTTTATTAAACTTGTAACTTGTGTGAAAGGGAGGTTAAGTTTGGCGTGTTAGTATTATATGAATTTGTATTAGGAAGACAAAAACGAAGAAAAGAATTTAAAAGGAGACAAAGGTAACGAAATGAACCAATTTTTCACGAGTTCAAGAAATTCATCATAGATAGAAAATGCGAGTTTTCACAGCCTGAAATAAAATGAGATCCGAAGGTAAGGCATCTGAAATCATTCTACGAGATGAGCGAAACAAATACAGGCTATCTTTTCCGTTTACGGCATAGAGTAAAAGCAAAAATATATGTTCCTCAAACGTCTAGATTAATACAGTCTAATTTACTGCTCGCAACTACAACTGTGAAATCAGTTTTAAAGTTTCATCATCGAAAGACTCGAAAGTTTTATCGTTATGATGACTATATATATCTATAGAAATATATCCATCTCTTACTAAAGTATGTGACCATAAGTTTAAATATATAAGTGCAATGGAAATAATGATTAAAACAATAAAAAATAGATACTCAACACCCTCAAGTAAATCCCCTAAAGGAGGAAATTCACGTTAATACTAAATGAAGAATATGTTGATGATCGTAGTCTAGGTTTTTTTTATTCTTAATTATATTTCTTTAACTTAAAAAAGACGGAGAAAATAGCGAATGTCTTACATTCGTTCATATATGACTGTTGCTAAAAATCATGCGGATTGCATTTCAAAATTTTCTGCTCTCTGTAAACAAGCAATTTATAGTTACCTGAATATGGAAAAAGCAACTCAAAATAGAAATCCATTTAACGCTTACAAGATTTACAAAAACATAAACACGGTGAACGATTTAAAAAAAGCTATTATTATAATTCCTAGTAAGGAATTCAAACATACAATTTCAAGTTCTTTGGCGATCGGTGATGAAATTGCGACTGCAGATCAGTTAAATTGGCATGTTCAAATTGTTGGTTTCTTGTAGTTACTCTACGACTGCGAATGGCAGGACGTTATAATTAAGTGAGAAACTAAGGTAAGGTACTACAAACTTTTAATTTGATGTATATGTGCTATATTGATCAAGCGTGAAGTCAAGATGGCTGGATATTGGCCGAGTTCTTTCTTTGCATTTCGAGAGCCGCTGAGAAAGAAAGCCGACTGTGTTCGTAGCACACTAAGCCCACGAGGGTCGTTTGTTTCTGTGTTGTGACTGTCTTCGGCCGCTTTTGCGACTTCCTTACCGCCACTGAACAAAATTTACGAAATTTGTAAGTCCGCTTCACGCACTGCTTTTTTTCGCGGGATCAAAGCGGGCAATCCTTAGAGGGCAAGATGGGTAGCCCGCTGTGTTAGCCAATTAGATGACAGGATTCGCTTCATCTTTCGCACGGGCGCTCCCGGCTATATGATAAGGAGTCATATAATAATAATAAACATCTTTTGTACTTAACTCAGCATATCTTGTCAAAGTTTGACGGTCCAGCACGAAAAAATAATCAAGCTAGAAGATTTTTTAAAGAAGAACACAAAAATGAAGAAAGGAAAAGCAAATCAACAGACTTTCCAATTGCCGATTCGAAACTTGTTTTTCCTTCACGATACAATGTATATGTTAATGTATCATATATTAACATATACAATGTATATGTTAATGTATGATACTAGCATATTTTTTTAGCTACACCAAATTCGAGATTAAATAAAGTATATGTATGTATGTATTAGAGATTGATTTTATACATTATAGAAATCAAGAGGTCGTAATGTTCTTACTTCTTAGTTTAAGACAACTCGGAATGAACTTAGTCAAAAAATTGATACAAAGTGCCAGAGATCTCGGAAATACCAATATGAGGCAAAGAAACGTGATACAAGTCTACTGTACGTATTAAGGAAACAGTTATCCAAGTGAAGGATAGGGTTAAAAGCTATATTTGGGCACGTTATGCTATTTAAACTTGGTTTTTATGGAAACACTACTTTCCACAATGTTTGCCTGGGTTGCTGAGCTGGTATAATTTTTCGTCCTCAAGGCTAGTCAACACTGTGAACCTCTTTTGGTCGTCTAACTTGTGGCACAACTATTTCGCACGTGCATGCTTACGGTATTCTTTGATTTGCTTTCCAGTTCACAGTTTAATAGCCCATGCCTCCAGGACGTTTTGTAATGAGTCAAAATGGGTGGGTGGATAAGTGCAGATGAGTCAATTTGGAAGCACTTTAAAATAAAATATACCGTTAGCCGGCAGGTAGACTATCGCTAATGGAGAAAAAATTAGGGAAAGTTCGATAAGATAATTATAATTGTCTGAGAGAGCACAAATTTAACGAGTCAGAAAACTCTAAAGATTACCATGCACAAACACGTCAGCGCGAGGGTGTTAAAGTAAATGTGTGATAAAAGGAACTGATGTATCGATTCAAAAAATAAAACCAACTTAAGCGAAAATAAAAAACTAGGAAAAGAACTCGGAAATGGAAAAGCATAATCGGTAACTTCAATTAGATCGCATATCCTGTCTTACAACTTATTTTGATCTGCGTTGCGATACTAAAACTGAACCTAAGTGCTATAACGAGGAGGCAAAACAATATATTGGACTGATTTAAACCTCTTCCATGTCTAAAATTAAGATCGTTTTTTATTTGTACCATTTAAGTATCAGTTATATCTGAGGGTTTTGATGAACAAGTGAGACATTTCTTAAACAAAATCGACACTCGTTAAACGTTTTTAAGAAAGTCATAGTTTTCAAGCTGATTCAGCAAATGCAAGAAAAGATTTGCAATTTTCATTGTTCATAATTACAGATTTGTCTTCATGCGTCTTCATCTACAAATAAAATATTCCTTTTGTGCTCGTTACCAAATGCATTTCTGCAAATGTATTGGCACATAAATTTTGAATATACAAAAAAATTACAATTTTAAATAGATCCGGAATTTTCTTTGAACGAATTAAAACAGCAGCAGGTGTTTTCGAGCGTTTTTCAAACAGTTTACTTTCGTTTACTTTATATTAACATCTTCCTTTAGAAGCGCGGGGCAGCGTCTCTCTGGACGATTTGTTTTCAAGCTTACCGGTAAGGTGTCACACTTGTCTGATGTTTTTTAAATTTGTGACGCACTCTTGGTAAAAAAAAAACATTCAGGAGAAGACACATGCAGCGATGTTGACAAGCTGTATTTTGAAATG